ATTATTATTATTATTATTATTATTATTATTATTATTATTATTATTATTATTATTATTATTATTATTATTATTATTATTACAGATTATTATTAATACTTTTATGCAGATTTTTTCCAATAAAATTGATATAAATAATACAAATGAATGAATTTTTTTCAGGTTTTGCAGATTAATTATGTTTGCGAAAATTTCCATGCACAGTTTAACTAACTTTCCTTTAAATTTCTCGTTAATTTTCCTTCAAAATCAAATTATAAACTTTTTTCTTTTCAATTCTGATATATTTTTGTAGAAAGAATTGTTTAAAATTTGAAAAATCTAATAGTTTACTGTTTTCGATTTCAATTTTCTGAAGCTAATTTAAAATAAGTGAAGTAAAATTTGAAAATTTCAATACAGAGTGTTAATTTCAGGCAGAGAAAATGAGGGAAGAGGAGAATATAACGATTACTGTACTGGGAATCACTGATGCTAGTAAAGCACAACTTGTAGTAAAACATTATTACTGGAAAAATTGGCCTGAAAAGGGTTTTCCGGATCCGTCACTTGCTGTTTTCAATTTGATATGTGCAATTCGTGATTCCAAGAAGCCGATCGTTGTGCATTGTTCTGATGGTATATTTCTATGAGTTTTCTTATAATTTAAAAAATTTTTCACCTTCACAACAAAGTATACTGTATTAACGGAATGTACCGGAGTTATGAATTATGAACATGACATAAGCAACAGTAGCATAATTAAAATCAAGAAAAAACATGTGACATTTTTGATACAGTAAACCAATCATACTATATACAAATTAAATGATAATTTTGCTATTTTACTTAATAGTTATTAAATTTATTTATTTTCTATAAAGTAAGTATTTGAATAGGTGTTGGCCGAAGTGGTGTATTTGTTGCAATCGAGTACATACTACAAAAATTATTACGAGGTGACAATTGCGCCGATCTCATAGATGTGGTGAAGGAAATTCGAAATCAACGGGCTATGGCTATAAACACTTTTTCGGTTTGCTTATAATTTTTAATTAGAATTAAAAATGAAATTTTCAATTGTGATAATTATATCATAAATAAATTAAAACAAGCTAAACCTGAAGAAAATTCAAAGATGAAAAGAAAAAAAAAACAGATAAGCAAAGGGAAAAGTTATAGTCAAGGAGAAAAAGGGACAATAAATGAGAGGAAAAGAAAAAAAGACGAAGTTAAATTTTTCGATTAATTTATTCCTCCTTTACATAAAACATTTTGTTGAAAATAATTAATTACAATAATGTATTAATAGCAATTTAATTTGCAATACTATTTGGTCCATCTAATTTTTGGCAAAAATAGCAAAAGCTTTATTAATAATGTTATAGATTTTTAAATAATGGAACTTAATCGAATAACTGGAAATGATTTATCTAGAAATCGAAAATATCTAACATAATAATTTGAAATGATTCAGACAACAATTAGAAGTGATTTATCCAATAATTGCAAATGTTTGCTATAACAATTTGCAATGATTTAGACGACCTTTGAAATGATTTTAGTGATTGGAAAGTTTGACATGATAATTTGAAATGATTTAAACATACATCAGTTAAGAATGGTTTATCTAATAATTGGAAATGATTTGTCTAATTATTGGAAATCTTTGTTGTGACAATTTTAATTGGAAGCGATTTGTACAACAATTAGATAATAATTAGAAATAACTAATGAAGTAAAATGGAATCAATTAGATTAATAGCTAGAATTATTTGAACAATAATTGGAAATTATTTAATTTAATAATCTAAAATTGCAGAAATACATTGTGCTGAATCGCTGGTTACTTCAGCTCTTTCATGAGCTTAACTTGGTTGACATGTCACAGCGTTTACTCGAATTTATTGATGAGTACGATGTATATACAAGAAAACATAAAGTAAAAATTGCAATTCAAATTTCAAATTTAAATTGTAAATTGTAGTATTTTCGTAGTATTTTTTTGTGGTATTTATTTTAAATTGTCGTATTTCTGAAGGAAAATTGCGACTTAAATTCCAATTTTCAGTATTTCCGAAATTTAGTAAATAATTCTCGCCGTAAAAACTATAATTTATTACTGGGATTACATATGAATATCAATATTTATGAATTACAGCAATAATTAATTATTTTATATTTGATCTATTTATTTATATAAATGAACTAATTTGTCCACAATTGATATACACTTATGTATTAATTCTTTTCCCTTCTTTTTAGGACGAAAAATGAATACAATTTTAACAACGAATTGAAAATTAACAATTGCCATATGTATACATCAAATTATGCATGATGTATTTATTACAGTAAACTTTAAATATAAATACTTTGTCAAAATTATTTTAACACTAACATACTGAAATAAATTTGATTTGATAAATAAAATCTACGCATACGTGAAAGCATACAAAGTATACGTCAACATAGCGTGAAACATACGTGAAGATAAGACGTAAAGATGGGTAAAATGAATGTATGAATATTATTCATGAAGTTTTATTAAAGTTAAAGAAGAATAAAGTAAATAACTTCCTTTTTTTCCTTTTAGAATAAATATTTGAATATATGTAAAATGAAAGAAAAAAGAATAAATTAAAAATTTGCATATTTCAAGAAATCTTTATTGTCTTGTTTGTTTTTTTTTTTTTTCAATAAACGTATAAAATAGTGTAAAAATGGTCGAAGAATTGAATGAACCTTTATTGAGCGGTTATTTCTAGTAATTCAATTTTGCTAAAGAAAAAAAAAATGGGTGATTCAACAATAAGCCATGGTGTAGGATATATTCCACAACCAGAAGGTGATCGTCGAATGTGCGCACTTTGTAATACATCATTAGGTGAGGAAGCGGTAATTGCAATGAATCGTCTTTGGCATCCTGATCATTTCCGTTGTCATGCTTGTAATGCACCAATTAAGCAAACTTATCAGGTGATTATTTCCATTTAACTGATATTATCATTTAAATGGAACATCCTTCTAAAGATTTCATGCTCACAAGGAATAGATTTGAAAGGATAATCTTTTCGTGGATATCATCATTTTATAATCTTACCTAATTATTTTAAGATGAAAGAGTAATCTTCACCGGATACCAGATTTTTTTTTACCATAGATATCATAATTTTGCTACTTTCCCCCGGATATCGTAATTTGAAACGGTAATCTTATCTGGATATGATAATTTGGATGAGTTCATCCTTCCCGGATATTTTAAGTTGATCGAATAATTTTCATCAAATATCATTGATTGAACATCTAATCTATCTGGGATATCATTAATTGAATTTTAAATCGGTAATATCAATTATTAGCATGATATTTTGATTTTAGCATAAGTTCAATTGAGGTATATTCTTTAATTTGTTTTTCTCTATGATCATTTATCAGATAAAATATTGATCAATTATCAAATGAAATATTGATTAGATTATTCAAAAAGCATAGAAGTGAAATAATTGTTCGAAAAAAGGAAGGAGGAATTCCTTTTTTTTTTTTTGTAATTGGAACAATATAGAAATGTATAATTGATTAATTTTATTTTAAATTTTCAATAAATCGTATCTAAAAATGAAAATGACAAATTTTTTAGATTGCGGATGATATGCCATATTGTGTACAATGTTTTTCTAAGAAATACAATCCAAAATGTCATGGTCTGTTGATAATCTTTTGTTTTTTCTTTTTTTTTTTTTTTTGGTACCATTTTAAATTATTACTTATTAATATATCAATTAATAAGAAATTATTAGTTAATGAAAAGTTATCAAATAATTGAAAAGAAATTAATATACTAATTATTCAATTTTGAAGTAATTATTACATTTATTCTTAATTGACATTTTTTCTTTAATTTTAAAAATTATCATGAATTCTGTGATTTCTCCCTTTAATTTTAAAAATAATCATACAAGGAAATTTATTAAGTAAATTAACAATTTTTCCTTCCCATCATTTTATGATTATTTCTTATATTTATCAAATAAAAATGAGGGAATTATTCACATTTATTTTGAAATTATTTTCTTATCAATAATGTTAACAATTACCATTTAATTTTAGGAGGGGACATTTGTTATTCAACTGAAGAAATGTTGATTTTTTTTACGCAGCTTTTTTCTTCTTTTCCCAATTATTTTAAAATTACCATCAAATTAACAAGACAAATTTATAAATTCAATAAATAACATTGTTAGATTAAATTCAATAAATGACATTGCTAAATTGAATAAATGACATTACTAGGCTAATTTTAATGAATGACATTGCTAAGTTGAGTAAATAGCATTACTAGGCTAATTTCAATGAATGACATTGCTAGGCTAATAAAATATTTATAAACATTCCATTTATGACGCTCAACAAGGACAATGTTTTTTCGTTTCTTTTGCACTTACATATTTCATTTGAATTCAATACCATTTATATATCACTTCAATTTTCTATTTAATTACTTATTACTTTATAATGCAGGTTGCGGTGAGGTACTTATCGATTCATGCTTAATTGCACTTGATAAGCATTGGCATCCACGTTGTTTCACGTGTGCTTCATGCAAGCAACCATTACCAAATGGTGAACATTATATTATTGATGATTTACCATATGATCGTGATTGTCATTGGGAGAAACGTCTCGAGAAACGTATTCGTGTCACGCAAGAAGCACATACACGAATGGAACATTAAGAGATCAATCTTTTTTTTTTGTTTCCCCGTTTTTTTTAGTGAAAATTCAATATGATATCAATCTGTTGATTAATTCTTTATCAAAATTAACTCATAATTAAAAAACAAATCACTAGATTTATCAATTGCAAGTTCGTTTCTTTTTTTTTCCTTAATTATCACCAAAATTTGTAACATTATCATTCAAATTTCTCATCTTTTCTTTATCTTCTGTATTGTAAAGAATTATCTAATATATCAAAATTATATTAGTTATATTTGATAAGAATTCTATACACATAGATATACTTGATGCATATATCACAGAAAATAGTAATATTTAGGATTAGGACCGAAATATGATGAAAAAAAATGAAATTTTGAAAAAAGTTGACCTTCAAAAAAAAGAAAAAAACGTCAATAAGTTCAATTGAAAATAAAATAAGCCATTAATTATGGTAGTATATCACTCTGTATTAAATTTTATTATTATTCAAGAATTGATATGAAAATCATAAGGAGTTATGAATGCTTTCCAAAATAAAAATTCCTATTCACTTTCATCTCGTTAAAAATTAACTTAAATTGTGCTGTAATCCTTTTGAGCATATCAAACAGAACTTGTGGAGAAAAAAAAAAGCTTTACTGTTTCGCTTTGTTCATATTGCAAAACAAATGAACATGAGCAAGAACATCAGCAATAAATGATAAAACAATTTGACGTGAAATAAAAGGAAGCTAAAGTTTCAAGTAATAGGATCACTATGTGTCTGTCTGTTTGCGCATGTATGTATGTATGTATGATTGAAGAGATATCGAATAAGTCAATCATATGCTTTCGTTTATGAAGTACAAGCGAAAGAACTGTAAAGACGATAAATATAAGGAAAAAGCACAGAACCATCATAAGGCAATATTCTGCTATCTATATATAAATGAAGAAAATATGGATTGGAAACTATTGATAGAATGAATAAGATGAAAGGCCATATTTAAATCCATATATTTTGACTAAAGGGCCAAAAATTAACTCGCATCTTTGTTACCTCCTTTCACTGTTTTTATTTGCTTTCCCATCTTCCACCTTTCCCTTGGTCAATTTTCCAATCAATGCATTTTGAGGCTTCAACACCTGAACAGCTCACTCTCAGTATGTCGTCTACAACATCTACTTTGTTGTTTGTAAACACAGAAGATGGAATGAGGATAAAAATTCGGGAGAATCAGAGTGAACGTAGACAGTATGCGTAGAAAGTTATGGAAATGCTATATTAATATGCTGGTTGCAAATTACAAATTAAAGCAACTCAATTCAAAATTTTAAAGAAAGATA